ATAAGCCCTTTATAAATCTTAATTATTCATTTCAGTTCACAAAGCACTTTGATCAACATTTTCTCATTAGAGCTTAAAACCATCAGGTAAGTAGGGCAGAGATAACATCTACTCTCAAAGCTATCGCAGGATCAGATATAACCTAATCAAACTTGCCTACACAGGGTCTTGTAAACTGTAGATGCTTAAGTAACATTAGTGATTTTTCTTACTGATGACACCTAAAAAGACAAAGAACTATAAGCAAGTTTATAAGGCTAACTGGTCTTCTAGCCTCACTCCCGCGCTCTTTTCTCACCAACACACTAGCATTTACTGAACCAGTTTCCTCATGATTCATTTTCAAGAATATTTCTGTACCACAGGACTGTAATAATTCATTCACAATATTTGAGTGCTTTCTATGTGTTGGTCAATGTTCTAGACACTTGTAAAAGTTGTACTGAACAAATCTGGCATTGGTCCTGCTCTCAGGAAGTTGATATTTTAGTGTGAGAAGACAAGCAACAAGTAAATAGTGATATAAGAAGGGTCAGTGAACTGATGAGGACACTTTAGATTAGTCAGAAGGTCCCTGTGAGGTGACATCTGAGCTGACATCTGGATGACAAAAAATATATGGAGCGTAGCCAGTTTGGCTCAGCAGTTAAGCATCAACCATGAATCAGGAGATCAGTTTGACTCCTGGTCAGGGTACATGCCTGGGTTGTGGGCTTGATCCTCCAGTAGGGGGCATGCAGGAGGCAGCCAATCAATGATTCTCTCTCCTTCTCCCTTCCTCTTTCTGAAATCAAAAACATATTTTTTAAAAGAAGTATATATAACTCTGACTTTTTCATTTATTATTAACATTCTCCACCTTACTTCCAATAAAGGAGGGATGAGGTAGCTAATAATTTTAAACAATAAGGCAACTTTTTATATAAAAGGGAAAACAAAATTTAAAAGGTAATAGACTTTGCCCGCTGGTATGGCTCAGTTAGTTGAATGCTGTCCCATGCACCAAGAGGTCACCGGTTCGATTCCTGGTCAGGGCACATGCCCAGGGTTTCAGACTCAATCCCCAGTACGAGGCAGGCAGGAGGACGCCAATCAATGATTCTCTCTCATCATGATGCTTCTATCTCTTCCTCTCCCTTCCTCTCTCTCTAAAAAATCAACAAAAACACTTTTTTAAAAAAGGTAATGGATTTTAAGCACTGGAACTATGTAAGACAGAAATGTTTTACACTTTAGCCTTCAGATTACCATCTCAGTGGCAAAGGAAAAATACATAAACAGTAAACCATTCATTAACAGTGTATGATCACATGCCAAGATGAACAATACAAGCCATCATCATAAAAAGTTCAGAGAAAGGAAAAGATCAATGTGGACCAGAGCAGTACTTCTCAAACATTAATATGCTATAAATCATCTGATATACAAGGTCAGGAGAGGGGCCTGAGATTGTGAGATACTTTATTTATACATTTCTAACAAGCTACCCGAGGCCAATTCTGCTTGTCTTGCTGGTCCATGGACCATACTTTGTTAAGTATCAAAAGTGTAATGCACGTAAGATAAGATTCATTCTGGTTTGGGAGAACAAAGTAGGTTTTATATAAGTTCAACAGGAAGAATTAGCTTGATCTTGTCTAGGAACAATGAGACCATTTGACTACAATGAAGATCCACTCCTCCATCCCAAAAAGATATGCTGAGCACTGAATCTGTGCAGGGTACATTAAAAGACACATTGACAAGTCTAATAGAATGGACAATTGGACAATTAAAAGATGATTGAGAGATACCATTTCACACAAGGAAAAAAGCCATGTAGTTGTCCATTAACAGTCAGATAAAGAAATTTGTTATAGCCATACAATGAAATGCTGTATAGCAATGAAAATGAATGAATTACAATTACTCACTCTAGAATGGACTAATCTCTATCATGGTGTGATATATATATATATCTGTGTGTGTGTGCGTGTGTATCATAGGAAAACATACTATGATTTAATTCATTCATATGTATTAATATAAACAGGCAAAATTAAACAAACTACTTAGGAATATTTGTGTAGTGAAGCTACTAAAAAAATTACTGAATCAAAGATCACAATAGTGACAATAGGGTGGGGAGAAGGGTAGGAGAAAAGGATGAAATGGAAAGGGGCTTCAAAGATATTTGTAATGTTCTGTTTCTGAAGCTGAATAGCAGGTGACTGGATATGTATTTTGTGATTATTCAAATTACTAGAGGCCTGATGCACGAAATTCGTGCAAGAGTAGGCCTTCCTTCCCCCGGCTGCTGACACCAGCTTCCCTCTGGCACCCCAGACCCAGGCTCCCTCGCAGCCCCAGCTTTGTCCTTCCTTCGGAAGGCTTTCCATAAGGACATCCGGTCTAATTAGCATATTATGCTTTTATTTATTATTATTATTTTTTAATGCCCTTGACTGGAATTGAACCCGGGACCTTTCAGTCCGCAGCCAACGCTCCATCCATTAAGCCAAACCGGTCAGGGCTTATTTTTATAGAAGATGTATTATAGACACTATTTTGCATGTATGACATTTGATTTTCTTTTTACACTTCTTTGCTAATGTTATCAATTATATTTTTAAAGACATAGGAAATTGGTGGCGGCAGATTCTAAAAGCAGTGACTTAAAGAAAAGTGGAAGACTGCTAATATAGACAATTTTTAACCAGTGACTTCAAGAGGAAAAATATGGGGATTGAGAAGGGAACACAGAATGCTAAGAGACAGAGCTGAACATTTTACTATGGGAATGTCTTGAAAATGTTAAGACATGAAGGGAAAGGTAATATTAAAGAAACAGAGGAATTGATAAATAAGACCAAAGGTAGGAAAGAAAAGGTTCAAGAATATAAGAAAAACAATTGGTCACTATCAAGATGTCAGGAACAAATACTATTCAACATCAGGCTTACCAAATAGTTCTGTGTGGCTAGAATGTACAGTTCCTAGGAAGTTTGGAAATACTAGGAATTAAACCTAAACACTAAAGCAAGGACATCTTGGTGGGCCTTGAACTCACTGCAAAGCCACTGAAAACATTTCAGAAAGGCAGTTAACAAGATCGGACTTTCACACACTTTTAAAACACATTGTATGCGGGAAACGTATTTATACGTTTTACGTTGACTGTAAGAAGTAGAGCCACCTGTTAGCGCGCGATAAAAACTACCCGCAAACAATGTTAATAAAAGTATAAAAAGCAGACTGAAGAAAAGGTTACCCTGCGCTCCCCTTCCCATAGCCCCCGAGTCCTAGCTCCTTCTCGACACCCAGGGGTCACCTACCTACCTGTCGCCCAGAAGAGTTTTTCTCCAAGTCCTCTCTCCCAAGCACCTCAAAATAAGGCCCCAGGGACCTGTCACACACGCCCCGAGCCTCGGTCCCCTTTCTCAGCCCTCCATTCCCCCGTCAGATGGCAGAGAAAGCTGTAGCGCCTCCCGAACAAAAAGCGGAGACGAAAAAAGAGGATTTTCAGGGAAAACCTTGGCCCAGCCTCACGTGGCCCAGAGGGGAGGCTGCCGGCAAGGGCGCCAGGCGGCACCCGGCTGGGAACTGCGCTCCCCGCGGGGGCCCGGGAAGACGGCACCACACTCACCAGGCCGTCTATCTGCACCTGCTTCACGGCCGAATCTCCGGCCCCGCCTTTGCCCTTGCCTTTCCCGGCCGCACCGGTGGCGGAGCTGGAAGAAGTGGTGGCCGGGCCGGTGCCTTCCTTGCGGGACGCCATCTTCCCAGCGGGACAGGAAGAAAGAGAAACGTGAGTGATCGGAAGCGGAAGTACGAGCTTCACGTGACGTCATACGCAGTGCGCCGCCCGAGGGGGCGGAGCGGGGAGGAAAGGCTAGAGTAGGGCCCCGCCTCCCTTCAACTCCTTCCCTAACGGAATCCTTTGCGCATGCGCATTGTGTGTTTGAAGCTTCCCCCATAAAATGCTTGAAGATAAGTGGACTTTTTTTTAAAAAGACTTTGTGACTGACAAACACGGCAGAGATTGGAATGATGTGTCTAGAAGCCAAGGAGCCCAAGGATTGCCGGGAACACCGGAAACAAAGAGAAAGACATGGAAGAAAGGCATGGAACAGATTCTCCCTTATTGCCTTCAGGGAGGGCATGGCCCTGAGGACACCCCAACTTCAGACTGTGAGACCACACATTTCTGCTGTTTTAAGCTATGCAGTTTGTGGTGCTCTGTTACAGCAGCCCTAAGAAATTAATACAACTTATTTATGTGCTACTGTATTGATGTATTATGCGCATTATAAAACATCCACTGAAATAGGTATTGAAAAATGTGTAAAGGTGAAAAACTAATGTTTAAAACATTAGTCTTATTAACTTATAGTGTGCAAAGAGTTTGAGAGCAACGATATTGAATATTTGCCGTTTTAATCTTTTTATTTTGGAGAAAAAATAAAATGTTTTCCACTTTATGTTTAGTCAGCCTCCATTAGGCTATTGATAATAGCATTATAATTCACACTTACATGGTGTCCCATGTGTAAAAATGCTTTCACTTCTAATTTTTTTATTAATCCCAATTCCCAATCTTGCAAACCATGAAGAGTTTCACTAACTCCCATTACACACATTAGGAAACAGACGTGAATTGTGAATTATCCAACCTTATTCTGTTCATTACTGGTGAGCAGTATTGCATTTTGTCGTATGTAATTTTAGATAACTGTCTCTAACCACTTAGATTATACAGAAATTAATTTTTTTTCAGAATTACCAGAATAGCCCTTTGCTGCTATTAGTTTCATGTAAGATTACATAAGGACCAAGAAGTTATTTTATGCAAAGTGTTGAAGTATGATGCCGAATATATTCCCTAAAAATAACACTGACTTATGTGAAATACACATCTAAAGTATTTATTTTTATTTATTTAATCCTCACCCGTGGATATTTTTCCATTGATTTTAGAGAGAGTGGAAGACAGAAATATCAGTGCAAAAGAAACACATCGATTGATTGTGAGGAGCCTGCAACCGAGGTATGTGCCCTTGACCAGAATTGAACCAGGGACCCATAGGTCTGCAGACCGATGCTCTATCCACTGAGCCAAACTGGCTAGCGCCAAGTCTCAAGTATCTAAAGGAACACTTGACAGCTTTAGAAAATCATCTTAGATAAGGAATTTATAACTTTCTCTGCTTCCAAATACATTTTGCCTAGTCCTTATTTTGGAAATGTTTACTTATTCAATAAATATCTAGGCAGAACTGATGAAGTGGTTACACCAATGAAGGGTATTTCCTGCCCTGAGATTTTTGTTGTGAGGGTTCTGGTTTCATATTACAATCTGTAAACAGAAACAGTTACACCTGAAAAATTCCTAATGATACAACATAAAAAGTTGTATCCATTATTTTCAAGTACACATGAAATATTTATCAAAACAGACCACAACCTGGGCCACAGAGAAAGTCTCCACAAGTTTAGAACTATTGAAGGTTGATTGTAGTAGAATTACACTAGAAATCAGTAAGAGAAAAATAATCAAAAAGAAAAGAGAAGAAGAAAATTCCTCATGGAAGAACCAGATCTAGAAATTTGTGCCCGTCATTGGCTAGCTGGAATGATGAGCACCAGAAAGCATCCAGGTTACTTACAAATAATAATACATTTACTAATTGCTTTATCCTACTATATATATGGTTTCATTTCAAAATTACAATACCAATATTACTAGTCACAATAAAACTGGTAAGTAAAGTTTTAAATTCCTTTGTAATATTTTAGCCTTGGAAATATCCCACTAAGATTTTCCAGACATGTGTGCTAATCACACTACATGGGTTCTTTCAACCTGACCCAAAACAATGCATGTGGCCCCCTGTGCATGAAACAGCCCACAGCCAAGAGATATAAATACAGACACCCCCAATTTACAATGGTTTGACTTAAGATATCTTTTTCTTTATAACGGTGCAAAAGTGATCCACATTTAGTAAAAACCATACTTCAAATTAATTAATAAAGCAATTAATACTTCAAATTTTGAATTTTGATCTTTTTTCAGGCTAGCAATATGTGGTATGATATTGACAGCTCCCAAGTCAAATTGAGATCTAGATGGTAAGTAATCATCAGTATACTGTGTTGCCACCGTCTTATGCATATTGTGTTCTGAGCATGTTTATGGTAGGCTAGGATAAGCTATGATATTAGTTTGGGGGTATTAAATGTATTTTCAGCTTAGACATTTTCAACTTATAATGGGTTTATAGGGACCTAACCTCATAAATCTAGGAGCATCTGTACAAAGAGAGGAAGGGAGAGACACATGAAGTAGAATTTGAAATAGGAAGTCAATATAGAAGCAATATCACTTCCTTCATTTGGATTTCTGGTTTGCTTCCTATCTCACTGGCTACTCCTTTCTTCTGTCACCATTGATGATTTCTCTACCCTTCCCCAACTTTTTAATATTGAAGGAACTGCACCAGAGTTCCATTCTTCTACATCTTTGTTCCCTTATCTCTACTCCCTGTCATGGTGATCTCATCCACTCTCAAACCTCTAAACTTTATGCATATACTGATGAATCCCAAATTTATATTTTCCCAGACCTCTCCACTGAACTCCACACCAGCATGTCTATCTATCTGCCTATTCAACATCTCCACTTAAATGTCCAACAGGTACCTCCAACTTAACCTTTGCAAAATTGAGCTCCAACTCCCCTCCCCCGCAAAAAAAAAAAATTGTTCTTCACATAGTCTTCCCCATCTCATTTGATGACAGCTCTGTTCTTCTAGTTAATAAGACCAAAACCCCTTGACTCCTCTGTTTCCCTCTCACCCCACCCCCTGATCCATCAGTTACTCCTCTAGGCTCCATCTTAAAATGTATTCAAAATTCAGACTTCTTCTGAGAAGATGTAAAAATATTTTTCCCTACTTCTCTTAATAAGTGCATCAAAACCCCTGGGCATTATAGGTAGAAGAAAAATTAGAAGACTTTGCAAGGTGGGAAGAAGAAGGAAGACTGGCTAGGGACATTGGGACCCAAAGAACAAGAGAGGTGTGATTGCCACATATGTTCCATGCTTGGAGCTGAAGTCCAGTGACCTGGAAACACCAACAGGTACAAACAAAACAAAACAAAACACAAAAAAGCCTCCAATAACTGCACACTGTCAGTGGCGATTATGTGGAGAATTTGACCTTTAACCCTTATCAGACAATAATGAGGCAGCCACTCCATCCCCCACAGCAGTAAGGAGACCATCAACCCCATGAAGGAATCCTGGAAAGCAGTAATAAGGCAATCCTACCCCTTTCATCCAGGAGGTATCACTGGAAGCCTAGTTGGAGCTGGAACTTCCATCCCCCACCAGTGACAAAGAACTGTTCCCACTCCTGAGAGAGTCAGTGAAGGCTGAACATGGAACTTCTATTTGTACCCTCATGGGGCAGTAAAAGGAAGGACTCCCTCCCTCCATTGCCAGAGTTATGTCAGAGAAAGCCAACTAAAACAGGAGGCCTTGAGATCCAAAGTTCCATAACAAAATATGCAAAAATCGATGCTTCAATTGAAAAGTCATCATCTCATCAAGAACCAGAAAGATTTCAAACTGAATGAAGAAAGGCAATCAATAGATGCCAACACTGACATGACAGAGATGTTAGGATTATCTGAAAAGATTTTGAAGCAGCTATCATACAATGTCTCAACTACCAATTATAAGCACACTTAAAATGTTTCAGCAAAGCCTTAACTGGTTTGGCTCAGTGGATAGAGCTTCGGCCTGCGGACTCAAGGGTCCTGGGTTCGATTCCGATCAAGGGCATGTACCTGGGTTGTGGGCACATCCCCAGTGGGAGATGTGCAGGAGGCAGCTGATCGATGTTTCTAGCTCTCTATCTCTCTTCCTTCCTCTCTGTAAAAAATCAATAAAATATATTTTTTTAAAAAAGATATTACATATGTGTCCTTATCCCCATGTTCCCCCCTCCCCCCACCCACCCCCCGCTAATAAAATATATTTTTAAAAAAATGTTTCAGCAAAGAAATTGAAAGTCTCAGCCAAGAGCTAAAAGATATAAATAGGAACCAAATGGAAATTTAGAACTTAAAAAATACAATAACTAAAAATAAAAATAAAAACTCGATGGGCTTAACAGCAGAATGGAAAGGACAGAGGGAAAAAAAATCAGTGACTGGAGATGCAACATAGAAATTACCCAATCTGTACACAGATGAACAGAATATAAAATGGTACAGCCACTGTGAGAAAGAGTATGGCAGTCCTTAAAAAAATTAAACATAGAATTACCAAATGCGCCCTAGCCAGCTTGACTCAGTGGATAGAGCATCAGCCTGTGGACTGAAGGGTCCCAGGTTCGATTCCGGTCAAGGGCATGTACCTGGGTTGTGGGCACATTCCCAGTGGGAGATGTGCAGGAGGCAGCTGATTGATGTTTCTCTCTCATCGATGTTTCTAACTATCTCTCTCCCTTCCTCTCTGAAATCAATAAAGAAATATATTTTTTTTTAAAAAAAGAATTACCAAATGGTCCAGCAATTCCACGTCTAGGTATATACCCAAAAGTATTGAAAGCAGGGATGTAAACAAATATTTGTACACCAGTATTCATAGCAGCATTACTCAAAATAGCCAAAAGTTGAAAATTATTCAACAGATAAGTTAATAAACAAAATGTGGCATATACATAAAATTGAATATTATTCGGCCTTAAGAAGAAATGAAAGTCTGATACATGCTACAACACGAATGAATTTTAAAAACATGCTAAATGAAATGTCAGATGCAAAAACAATTATTATAGGATTTTATTTACATTAAGTACCTAGAATAGTCAAATTTATTGGGAAAGTAGAATAATGGTTACCAGGAGGTGGGAAGAGGGAGGAATAAGGAGTTATTATTTTTTTTAATATATTTTATTGATTTTTTACAGAGAGGAAGGGAGAGAGATAGTTAGAAACATCGATGAGAGAGAAACATCAATCAGCTGCCTCCTGCACATCTCCTACTGGGGATGTGCCCGCAACCCAGGTACATGCCCTTGACCGGAATCGAACCTGGGACCTTTCAGTCTGCAGGCCGACGCTCTATCCACTGAGCCAAACCGATTTCGGCAGGAGTTATTATTTAATGAGTGGAGAGTTTCAATTTGGGATGGTGGAAAAATAGTAATGGTTGTACAATAATATGGACACAATGACACTGAACTGTACATTTAAAAGGGGTTTAAATGTTAACGTTTGTGTTATTTTTCCACAATAAAAAAAACAAGTGGACTGAAACAAAAAAATAAAAATGAACAAAGCCTTGGGGGACTGCGGAACTATAAGAAAAAAAAATAACAGTCCTGCCCTGTCCTAGTGGCTCAATTGATTGAAGCATTATCCGTGCACCAAAAGGTTGTGGGTTTGATTCTGGGTCAGGGCATATACCTAGGTTGCCAGTTTGATCCCCAGGGTGAGTACAGCAGGCAATGATTGATGTTTATCACATTGATGTCTGTCTGTCTGTCTGTCTGTCTCTCTCTCTCTCTCTCTCTCCCTCTCTCTCTCCCCCCCCCCTCATTTCTTCTCTCTCTAAAAACAATAAAAACATGTTCTCAAGTGAGGATAAGTAAGTAAGTAAGTAAATAAAATATAACAATCCTATCATAGAAGTCTTAGAAAGAGAAAAGAAAGGGAGCAGGGGTTAAAAGTTATTAAAGAAATAGCACCTGAAAACTTCCTTAATATTAGGGGAAAGTCATAGCCTACAGATTCAAGAAGCTTGAGCAAACTCCAAATAGGATACATCCAAAGAAATGCACACCAAGTTATATCAGAGTGAAACTTCTAAAAGCCAAAGAAAACATCTTGAAAGCAGCAAGAGACAAGGCCCTACTTTATAAGGGAAAAACAATTGGAACTAAAATGGATTTCTCAATAGAAAACAAAGACCAGAAGGCAGTTGCATAATATTTTTCAACTGCTAAAAAAAAAAAAAAAAGAACTCTCAACCTAGAAACCTGTATTCAACCAAAATATTGTTAAGGAATAAAAAGGAAATCAAAACATTTTTTAATAAAGAAAAACTAAGAGAATTGTTACTAGCAGTCCTACCCCAAAAGAATGACTAAAAGTAGTTCTCTAAAAGGAAAAGGAACAATAAAAGAAAGAACCTTGGGATATCATTAAGGAAGAAAGAGCACAATAAACAAAAATGTGGGTAATTACAGTAGACTCTCCTTCTTTTGAGTTTTAGGGTTAAAGCAAAAAATTAGGATAGCAAGAAAGCCAACTACTGTTATAATTATTTTACTTACCTTAAATGAAGTAGATCTGGTATGAGAAATACTTAATTAAAAAAACAGAATATTCACACAACTTTTGTAATTTAATGTGAAACTTTAGAGGCTTGATCTAAGTCTACATTTCTGGCCATGCAAGTATCTTCTGTGTGAAAAATATGCTAGTTCAAAGACACATTAAAAACTTCACCTCCACTTCCCATTATGTTTTATAGTTCTGTGCAATTAATGTGGCTACTAGCAATTCATATAGGAAATAAAGGTCAGAGATTATTCTGATTAAATTTTTAGAGCAGGTTTATGCTTAACACTATCCACACTTACATAGGTTTCATACTGCACACAATTTATGACTATTATGATTATTACTGTAGGTCTTAATATAATGTATTCTCACCTAAACCAGGATTGAAATTTTTAAGTAAAATATTCTGGACTGGCCAATATACCCTTCCCTGCCCCCCTCCAAAAAAAAGGGAGTTTTTTGGCTGCATTATGAGAAAAACCCTTGACTATGTTTGGATTGGAAAGGAAGCCTACTCTGAAATTTGATTTTAAGTAATGGTTTGGGGTGATACTTTTATTTTTACTGGGGACAATTAACACTGAGTTAGTAGACATGTTTTAATTCGGGCTTTATTTTTAAGACTTTCAGATTGCAACTCAGGAGGCTCCAACAGCAACTAAGTGCTTTGGAATCATTCGCACAAAGATTAAGAGGCATGTATAAACCATAAAACCCTTTATAAGAAATAAGAATCTATCTTAAAATAATCATATGAACTAAACTTATATATAAAAACATATTGAAACTTAAATATACTCATGTGGCAAAAATTAAAGAAATACCTATACTGCCCTAGCTGGTTTGGCTCAGTGGATAGTGTTGGCCTTCAGACTGAAGGAGCCCAGGTTCAATTCCGGCCTAGGGCACATGCCTGGGTTGAGGGCTTGATCCTCAGTGGGGGGGCGTGCAGGAGGCAGCCCATCCGTGATTCTTTCTCATCATTGATGTTTTTATCTCTCTCTCCATCTCCTTTCCTCTCTGAAATAATAAAATTTTTTTTTAAAGAAATACCTATACTGCCCTTTTTCTTTAGTTGTTAACAAGCACAGCAAACCAAAGTGCAAACCAATGTTTAAGAGAATTGAGTTCTAAGGGTTTCTCACCTCATCACTTCTAAAGATAAAATGTACTTGTCCTCTCTATCATACAAGGTAGGAGTATTTAAGAGGGTTGTTAAACTGCTGAGTCAAAAAGAACAAGAGGAAGCAGCAAGAAAACATAGACAGACTGGGTGTGAAGAGAGTTGGGAATGCTGGTTGTGGTAGGTGGCCTCTGATTTGCTCTTCAGATGCACTCACCATCCTTCTCTACCCTAATCTGTGATTCCAGGAGGCTGACCAGTCTTTTATCAACCAGTCTCTCTCGCTCTGTGTCTTCAGATTGGGTTTAGCTAATGTGAACTACCAACAGGAGATTAGAAGTCAGGAGGAAAGCAAGGTAAGAGTATTTACTTCCATGAATCCCCTCAGTGACTGCCATTTGTCTACTTAAGGTCACAGCTTTTGTTGGGTGGCCTTCTGTTACCATCACAGCACATTCTGAGTTGCAGTCTGTATGCCCCCTCAAGCCTAGTAGTGATAATACAGGCTTCCCACAGTTGCTAGCCTCAAGGTACTTCATCATCTCTTGCTTTCCCTCCATTCCTTGCACATTTTAAAAAGTAGTCTCTTTATTAAATGCTATTCCATCACTTTTTCCAAGTGTGTTGTTAATGTTCAGCCAGGACTCTGATTGATAAATTGGTAGTGGGGAATGGGAGAAAAAGTCAAGGTAGTATTAAGGTGTGGTAAAGAGAGATAGGAGAGAGAGATAGGAAGAGGTTTTCAAAGCTTTTTGCACCATTCTATGAATGTAACACGACTTACGTGACTCCAATTAATTCCTAAATTGCGTAATTATTGTGGCTGAGTTCCTGTTTCTTTGCATCCATATCCAATATAAGGGCATGGCTATAGATCGATGTCTGGAATTTACATGACTAGGTAAGACTACCAGGATCTATGTGGGTTGATTATGTCATATTAAGACATTTCTCTTATGAAATAAGGATTAACCCAACCCAGTGTATCCGCTAATTTTTTCTAGAAATTCCGTTACTTGCTATAGTATGAATTTTTACTGTCAATTATGTCAATATTATTTGACTTTGTAATATTTCCTTTTATTCTCAGTGTACTCTCCCCCTTAGGGGCACGCCTACACTTTTCCCTTCCCCTTCCCAGGTACATTGCCTTTGCCTTTATTTTTCCTAAGCTCCATCGGCCCTTCTATTGCTTCTGTAACTTGTTTCCTGAGCCTATGCAGCCCATCTGGCTCACTTCTACTAGCTCTTTAACTTTCTAAATAAACTTTCTCTTATAATTTGAAAAAAAAATTTTGCCCAGCAGGTGTGGATCAGTGGTTGAGCATCAGCCTATGAACCTGGAGTTCATGGTTCAATTCCAGGTCAGGGCACATGCAGGGGTTGAGGGCTTAATCCCCAGTAGGGGGGCGTGCAGGAGGCAGCTGATCAATGATGTTTCTATCTCTCTCACTCTCTCTCGCTTCCTCTCTCTGAAATCAATAAAAACGTATTTTTAAAAAAGGATCTTGACACCATTACTTAATAAAAAATATGCAAGTAAATAAATAATTTGAAAAATATATACAGTTTATTTTATTCTCAAACAGAAATTTGGGAAAGTACAATAATTCCTTCAAGAACCAGTGGTTCAGTACATATTATTTCATTTAGATTCACAATTAAATTCAGATTGTTATATTTAAACATCACTCCAGAAGTGGGTATAAGCCAGGTGACTGTTGTTTGTCCATCACTATAACAGTTTATATAGCTGAGAATTCAGATCTCAATTAAAATTTTCTCTCTAACCAGAACCTACTACTTCCCTGCGACAAATAGGACAGGTAGAGTTGTCAGACAGCCAGCGATCAATACAGTGCACATGATATTCATGGGAGCAAGGTAGTATGCGAAGCTTGTTGCCTTCTGTGTACTCTGTAATACAAATTATACAGACTTTCGATGTATCATTTTCAGAAAAAGGTCTTATAGCCAAGTTGTCAATCTCTGCTTTGCTGAGTCCTGTTGGATGGTTATCATAATCATTCACGAGTAAAAATTGATCAAGAGAGGCCCAAGAGTCACTTTCATCTGATGTTATTGGGGTCATAGATCTACTGTCACCCCAGGTTTCTGATGAGTGTGGTGAGAATCTTCTTTCATAACTGCCTTCAAAGAACAGGGTGCTAATTTCTGAATTTTCATCACTGAAGGAGCTGGAACTAGACATCGGACTGGAGCTGGAACTGGACATCAGACTGGAGCTGGAACTGGACATCAGACTGGAGCTGGAACTGGACATCAGACTGTAACTGGAACCGGATGTGTAACTGGAGTTTGAACTAGAAGTCAGTGTGGAATGTAAACAGGAATCACAGCTAGAATTTGAGTAGGAACTAAAACTCCTACCATGAGAACTATCTCTTCCATCGGGTGACTCTGCCCTTTCCATGTATCGACTTGGCGCTGACTGAATAGGCTCTAAATCACTCTCACTGTCCATAGGACTACTTGAGCCACTAAAATCTGTCACTGTCTGCCTTAACGTGCTTTGAATTGCACCAGGTATTGTATCACTTAAACCTGTACTTAAAATTCCACAAAAGGGAATTCCAATGGTACTAACATAAGCTCTCATATCTGCCTGTTCATAATGTGAAAACATATGCCTAAGTTCTCCTTGTTCATTGTCTAAAGCGGCCGTGCTATTTGGTATCTCAGATGTTATTTGAGTTCTATTAGTTATGCTGCCTCTCTCAGAATATGCTACAGGATGAACTCGTCCTACTGCAGAACAGAGGCATATGTTTGGATATATCTGTCTCAATCCACAAGATTCACCGTCACCGGTTGTGTCTGGAGAAGATTCTCCTTGAACAGCATTCCTTGTCCCAGACGTTGCAAAAAGATGCCTATTTTGCGATTCAAGTGCAGCTGTTTGCTGTGTCGATGTTTCTTGGTGCCCAGTCTCACTTACGAAAGGCTGCTCAAAAGTTGGAGATGATGCACTGTGATGGAATCTTTGTGAAAGTGGACCCAGTGCACGTGGAGGTGACCTACTTTCAGTTCTTGCTCTGGTTCTACTGTGGTCTGGGCTTCTGCTTCTTGCTCTTTTCTGACCTCTGGTAGGTGTGACTTTTATTGATGGCCTTGGTGTACTTTTTTCTGACTTAGATGGTCTTGTAAATCTTGGTTCAGCTTGTGGGTTTTCCACGTGACTGTGGCTATTTTCCATGTTTTCTCTTCTGGGAAGTCTTGTAGATGGTGCGTATTTATTCTCTGCACTTGGATGGCCAGAACTGAATCTGAAATCCCCGTGTGGATTAGCCTGGCTCACTTCTCTCCAAGGTTGGTGTTCTCCTTGCCCACATATCCCATTTTTAGCTTGCTCAAAAGCCTTAAGCTGGTCTCTAATAGAGCCACTCGTTGGAGTTGATGCACTGTGATGGAATCTTTGTGAAAGTGGACCCAGTGCACGTGGAGGTGACCTACTTTCAGTTCTTGCTCTGGTTCTACTGTGGTCTGGGCTTCTGCTTCTTGCTCTTTTCTGACCTCTAGTGGGTGTGACTTTTAGTGATGGCCTTGGTGTACTTTGTTCTGATTTAGATGGTCTTATCAGTCGTGGTTCAGCTTGTGGGTTTTCCAGGTGATTGTGGCCATTTTCCACACTTTGTCCTCTGGGAAATCTTATGGATGGTACATATTTACTCTCTACACTTGAGCTGCCAGAACTGACTCTGAAATCACTGGGAGGATTAACCTGGCTCACTTCTCTCCAAGGTTGGGGTTCTCTTTGCCCACTTGTCACATTTTCAGTTGGTTCAAAAGACATGAGCCAGTCTAATAAAGAGTCACTGCTAGACACATCATCGGGAGAGTCTCCTTCACCTGCTAACAAAAAAGTGGGGAGCTCAGAAAGGAAATACCAAGATTAGAGCCATCGTAGGATAGCTCTCTGAAACGTTGTTTCAAAAACAAACTAAAATGCTGATAAATACTCAGATCTTGTAAACAAAATTTTACATTTATAGAATTAATATTTTGTAAACCATGCTGCAAATTGACAAGGAAAGGCAAGAAAGTTTCAATTCTATCTGAAAGACAGAGATAATCCTAGATAAATTTAGAGAATTGTTTTTATTAAAAATGAATATGGAGGTCCATTTTTAATAGTTCATCATATACACATCCTGGGAGAGGACTGTCAAGTGACAACAGTTTTTTCACTCCACTGTCAAAATTTACTAATGCAATTAAACAAGACAAATACCAGGTAAGGTACAGTGCTTGTTATTTTTCTTCAGTTTACATTATTAGGTAATTTTCATTAGTCCACATTACTTCTAGGCTTTTGACTTAAGTGCTTTTGATAATACATAAAGTTGTTTTAAAATACAAGACTATTATAGTCATTACCCAAATATAAAGAAGCTTTAAAAGTATTGGAATACTTATTAATGTTACCAAGATTTTGAATTGACATGAAATTGAAGGTTAGATAAATGAGTAGACTAATCCTAGCATAGTGCATATAGGACCATGTTCAAGAACCAAACTATTTCAGTATCCTCTTCAGTACATAGTAAAAGTC